GGCTTTTCTCCCCAGCTTTTGTTTAAAAAGTCACTTTGGCCATCAATTCCTCTCCTCTTGGTGGAGGCAGGGGGTGCAGGAGAGAGAGTTGTTAAACGCTTTTTGAATCTCGTTAGTTTAAAAATAAGGCCAAGGTATGTGAAATCACATGAATAGCAGCTGACATGATAGACGCTGCGCTATAGGAATCAAGAGATGCTCAGACAACAGCATGATCAATGGGAAAAAGCTAGCTTCTAAAAGGCAAACACTCTCCTTGTTTAGATGTGAATCTTTACTGGACCTGCCTTTAATTGTAGCTGAGGGCGGGTAATCTGTAATGGAAGCACCATGTTGCCTTTTGTTAAGTGTAGAGCAAGGTCTGAGGATGCTACAACAGTACACAAGGTTTCTTTTTCAGCAGAAAATCTGTATTGGAATGTGACTGTCAAAAGATGTTACAGAGGAAGGGTGTGGGGAATTTAACTAGTCTGTGTAAGGAGAGGAAATGCCTAGGAACATCCATGAAGAACAGCAGAGACGGAAGCTTTGGGACAAGAAAACTTTGTTTAATTGACGCAGCCTTGAATGGGTGACCTCTCCTTCCCTCTGATTTGACTATTGTGTCTTCGGAACTTCTCTTTAGAAACTTGATCCATTTTATCTGAAAAGCCTCTGTAGATTTTGATTCCCCAACTTTTCATGCTTCATATGACTTAAGGCAAAGGTCCCCTCCTTGGCCAGATTTGGCGTGCCACTGCACAGTTCTCAAACCATTCTGTCCTGCGAGTCAGCCGAAAGGGCTGTGCAGGTCACTGGGGATCCACAGGGCTCTTTGAGCCTCAGAGGCAGCGCAGAGCTGGTCTGTACCAGCAGAAAGAGGCTCACAGCTGGTGCTGCTTTTGATACCTTTTCCTCTCTGGCTTCATGCCCTTCAGGACTGGAAAAAAGCAGGCGCAAAACTAAGCCTAGTTCTGGACCCCATTAAGTCTTGACTCTAAAGTACATTTGAACAAAAACTGGTGGCCGGACAAAATGACAGGCCGTAACTTGCTTGCACATGCAGCACCTGCTGTACTTGCCAGACCCAGTTTAGGTCTGGGCTCCCTCATCATCCTTCCTTGCACAGCACAGAATAGTAAGAATGGCTTTGACTGGGAGGCATTAGAACCTTGATCACTGTGACTTTACCCTAGTAAGGCTATCCTGGCTTACAACACACTTGTGTGCACACACAGCATGCTGAGATCTGCACTGTACTGCAGGTCAACTTCTAAACTCAGACAACAGGGCCAATAAGCGCAGCCAAATTGTCTGCCAGAGCAGCTCCGGCGGAGCTACGTCAGCAGAGAGCTTGGTTCTGATGCCGGGGCTGGGTTTACACCAAAGACTTGATGCTGCTACAGCGACGTTGCTCAGAGGTGCAGCAAATCCACAGCCACGGAACTCCTGGAGTAGACAGAGCTGTGGTGACAGGCGGGCTTCTCCGGTTGACATAGCTGCTGCTTTTCAGAGAGATGAAATACCTGCGTTAATGGGAGAAGTACTCCCATTGGCATAGATAGCGTCTTCACTAAGCTTTCCAGCACTGTGTGTAGACAAGCCCCAGTGGTGCATGGCTAGTTGAGTAGCTCTGACCGTACAAACCCTATAAAAAAACCCTCAGTCTTCATTTGTGGCTCTCCCACAGTGGAAAACGGGCAAAGAAATCCTTTCTGGGCAGTTCTGTGCTCCTTAAAGAGCTATTGCCACTCACTAGCCAACCCTAAGGAAAATGTAGCTTAAATCCCATGACTCCTGTGCAATTTCCTGTGTTTCATCCCCACAAACAGTTACAGGATGATCCGTTTTGAGCCTTGTCATATGCCCCCTGGTTCTAAGGTGCTGAGGACACACCTATAAATACTTGTCATTCATGGATACAAAAGTAATTGGTTCCCTCCTCTTGTCAGATTGGTGCCAAGAGTCCCAGTGATGAGACAGTATAAAGGGTGTCACTGGGTAGGTCTGCGTTGCAATCGGAGGGCTGCTTGGGTAGGTCTCGATTAGCTTTAATCTATCCAGACAGCTAGAAAGAGCCCGGACTCTGCCGTAGAGTGGGCTTGGACGAGAGCGAGGGGCGCAGTTCCCTACGCGGGGTATTGATCGGGGTCCCGCTGTGCTGGGTGAGCTAATACAGCCTGTGTGGCCGCAGCTTGCCTGCTATTTTTAGCGGTGCGAGGTAAGTTAAAGCACCTGGGTATGTCTGCAGCCACATCTCTGATTGCAGCGGGGGCAGGCCAGCAATTTCCGGGCGCTGAAGTGGAATCAAGTACAATAAGCCAAAGTTGCAGTAACAAAGCCAGCACATCACAAAGTTGATTAAGTGCTGAGATTTCCTGTGTTTGGTTAGAAGCATAAGGAGGAAAACAACTGCTGGGTTATGCAAATTATTCAGATGTGAGCAAGCTCAAGCGGTGGTGCACCAAGTGACTGGCCTCTTCCTCAGCGAGCCCCTGCTTGCAGGAAGGATGTGCTTTGTCAGTGTCTTTGGGCTGCGTTTGATTGCTCTGCCATGTGTCTCCCCAACAGAAGACAGACAGTCAAGGGGAAGGAAACAGCCTAGTAGTTCTAGTCCATCTTCCTGCCTTCACACGGGATACTCAGAGGAGAATCTCTCATGGTATCACGGGATCAGCGTGCTTTATGCTGAGTAGTGGTGGTGATTCACCACCTGACATGCTGTGTAGGTATAAAATGCTATTTCATTTGTGATGACTCCTTGCCACCAGTGTGTATTGTTCATCTATTGCCTCCATCACACCCTGGGATCAGCATTGCTCTGCTAAAGATTAGTGGATGAAACGGAGATTCTGTGCTCCACAGGAGGCCAATTTAGTCTTGCGTAACGACCCCTTGTGGCCATAAAAATCTCTTAGCTCAATTTTTCAGATTCCCAATTCTGCCGTGCCTGTGCTTTCTCGTAGCATATGCCTAATATTTCAGTGCTAGCCTCTTAGCGCCTTCATTAACTTTTCAGTTCCTTATCCATTGTGCACTTTTGAAAGTGCTCCTGTGCAGCACTTTGACCACGGGCAAAGTTCCTTACAAACGTTAGCTGATTATTTACCGTAATCCAATTGTTTAATAGAGGTGACCGTTGAAGGGAGCGCTACCATTTCTCCTTTGCCAAGCTCAGGAATTGTTTACATCCCTGCCTGATCAGAAATGTATAGGCTAATGTATTATCAGAAACCATTTTGCCAGCTGGCTAGAACAGTGGACCAGGGCTCAAAAGCCCTGGGTTCTTTTCCTGGCTCTGCCATGGGCTTACAGGGTAACCATAGATAAGTCCCTTCTGCAGCCTGTGCCTCATTCTCCCCATCTGCCAAATGGGGATAATGACACTGCCTTCCTTTGTCAAGTGCTTTGAGATGTTTTGCGCGGTGCTGTACAAACACAGAGCAGGATAGTCTCTGCCCCAAAGAGCTTCCAGTCTAAATAATGTGAGGCAGATGGCTAAAGACCAATAGGGACATACAGGGAAACAATGAAATGCTGCTGGGTGACAGGTGGTGGACTCAGGACACAAGCGCGTTAGCTGGTGTCGAGTGCTTTGTAGGCATCGTGGCGAAGGAGGGATTTGAAGGATGGCATTGCGGTGACTTTGCAGATGTGTGCAGGGAGCTCCTCCCAAGAGCCAGAGGCAGCCTGGGACCCAGCGCGACCGTGTTTGTTTGGAAATGTAACAACTGAATGCTTTGGTAGTATGGAGAGCAAAATATCTTGCCTCCTTCTGCAAGTGAGTTATTCCTAGGGCTGATAGTTCACAGCCTGGGTTTGTGAATCCCCCCACAGTCGTGCCGTTTTGACAGTCTGGACTTGTTTGTACACCAAATGGCTAATAAATGCAGTAAAGCAAATTGTCACTCTTGAGTGGCATTCTGACTCCAGACTCATCAGCTGCCTCTCCCCACCAGCGCAGAGGGAGCATTATTCGCCCTTCAGCCAGGTAAAAGAGACAAGGGGAGCGGATGAGCAGCCAGTTGGTAAGAGCACGGCTGCAGTGGCTGAGGTTAAGAAGGCTGGAATAAAATAACCCCCCTACTCTCCTGTAACAAACAGAAGGTTGTGTGCCATTGCGGTGGCAATGGTTAGGATACTGCATGAGGATTTAGTCGCATCCTGCTCAGTGCTTCCTGGAAAAGAATGCGCACCCTCCGCTCACCCTACACATTGAGGGTGCCTGGCAGTTTTTCAGGAGCCGGATATTTTGTCCAGGACTAAAATGAAATTGGATTCTGACAACTGACTTCTTTCTGTGGGACGCTAACGGGCCTGATTCTCAGCTTTGCGATCACTGACAGAGCTCTGACTTTGGTGGGGCTACGTTGCTTTCTGACAGCTGAGGACGAGTCTCTCTTTACAAACACCCCATGGCTGCTGGGGCCTCGCTCTGCATTTCCTGTCCCGTTGCTGCTGTTTGAGAGGCGCGTGTATTCTGTGTTACTAGCTATGCTTGTGTGGAAGCTGTTTGTAGATCAGGTGCCGTTTGCTAGTGAGCCATTTTCACATGTCTCTTGATAACAGGACCGAGGTGAAAGGAAACACAAAGATTAACAGCTGTCAGAGGTTTAGTTAAAAGATGTTTTGTGTCTGTTGGAGTCTGGCTGTAGTTTGTGCATGTATTCTGTGTCTAGATCTCTCTGATAAAACTTCTTCTCCAATCCTCTCCGTCCTATCTCTTCTATCTTTTCTTCCTCTTTCCTTTTCTCTTATCTTCTCCCATCAATCTTCCATTTAAAAAGGGTTGCCTTGTTTCTTACATCGTCTTTGTGTTAGTCTGGCATGCAGTTCTAAAATGCCCATCATCCTTGCTTGTCAGAGCAGTAATTTGTGTCACTTTTGCAATGCTGTGGAAAGGATACAAATATCTGGCCCGATTCTTCATTGCCTTGCATTTCTTGTCATCTCTGGTTGCGAAAGTATGGACTGAGACTTGGAAGATCGGAGTATAAATCCCAGCTCTGCTGTATACGTGTAGCAGGTGACCTTGGGCAAGTCTCTTAATTTGCTCCTCTTCCACATCTGTAAAATGAGGTTAATAATCTTTCTTGTCTTCCACACGGTCTGGAGCGTTCCCATGGCTTTTGGTAAGATGCGTAGGTTGAGAGGCCTTAGAATCAGGGGCTGTCCTTAGCCATACAAAAAAATAGAAAGGGAGATCTAGGAGCTATTGTAGTGTTTGTGGGCGGGTGTGCACAGGAAGCTGTCAGTGCTGTGCGTGAAGAATTCTCATTGGATAGCATTTCCTTTGTCCTTGCATGGGGTATTTGACTATGCAAAGTCTGTAGGACCTCTTACTGAATGCTCTTTTAAGAGGAATAATTAATGTTAAGATGCTGCTTTTAACAAGTCGGCCATAGGACAGTGCTTCCTTGCAACTTGAATTAGAAAACACCTAGGAGATCCAGCTGCAGTCAGGGGGGCTGCTGGAATGCTTGAAGCTGAGCATGTGCTTCAGGGTTTTAATGAATCGGAGGTCAAAGTGCAGACAGGAGGTCCTAGGCTGTGTGAGGCCTAGAACATGAGAGTGAGCCCAATTCGGCTGTTGCACTGGTGTGAGTCCACTGTAACTCCACTGAAACCAGTAGAGCCACTCCAGGTTTACACCAGTGTAACTGAAAGCAGGGCCCCCCTCAGTCTCAGCCCCAAGGAGCTTACAGTGTAAGGAACAGATGCTGTGGTCAAGGTGGGAGGGGGCAAAGGGGGTAGCTGTCCCGGGGCCCAGCAATTGTTACTGTGGCAGCAGCCAGAGCCCTGGGCCCTTTAAATCGCCACTGGAGCCTTGTGCCATGTGCTCCTGGCAGTGCTGAGGGCAGGTTGGGGGAAGCAGGGGTGGCTCCCCCCCAGCACTGCCCCTTCCACTCAAGGCCCTGCCTCTTCTGAGAGCATGGAGCCGGCCCACCCCCCAACCTTGCCCAGGGGCCCAGCCTTGTGCCATGTGCTCCTGGCAGTGCTGAGGGCAGGTTGGGGGAAGCAGGGGTGGCTCCCCCCCAGCACTGCCCCTTCCACTCAAGGCCCTGCCTCTTCTGAGAGCATGGAGCCGGCCCACCCCCCAACCTTGCCCAGGGGCCCAGCCATTCTGGCTGAACCTCTTGATGGAGGAGTCAAGAGTACACGCCCCCTTGCAGAACTGAGACTTTAGAGACACTTCCCATCAAAAGAGCAGAGTCCTAAGTCTATTCTAGTCCACTCGCTCCGAGAGGTGTGAAGACAAAGCTTCCACTAAAGCAATGGCTTCAAGTAGCATGTATCAGATACACAAACATATTCCTCCACTTTAATTTACCATCTAAGCTGTTCCTCCTCTGGATTCTCCAGCTCCTGTCCTTGCACTGAATCCAGCTGAATCCCCTTGCTCATTGATTTGCTTTGCCAATAGCTTATGTTCTTTGAATCAAGGGGTTTTTAATTTTTCTTTGAAAAATTTGTTCTGTTTTAAAAAATAAACGTATTTCCGCATTGTTTCCTTCCTGCATGTCGACCTGGTGTCCCCCGTAGGCATGACGGCTATTCTGATGTCCGCCACCGGACTCCCCGTGCGTCTGACCTGTGCGTCACAACCTGCCAGCACCCGTAGAGCCACTAAAAAACACAGCTCAGTTAAGGAAGGGAGGAAAGTGTCCAAGAAAGGTAGTTGCTGCTCGAACTCTCTATTTGCTTCGATCTCCTTCTCTCTCTCTGCACTTGTTACACACTTCCTCTCCTCCTCGGCCTGCCTTTCTGCATTTCACATGATGAACTTGCCCCATAAAGAGCTCCTCTCCCTCACTCAAAATGCTCTTTGAGACGTCCAAAAATAAGATTGTAAAGTGGACCCTGCCTCTGACCCAGCCCCCTGCAACCAGTAACGAACATGTTGAATGAAAGTTTGGCAGGGAAGTCATGGATTCTGTGACTTCTGCAGCAGCCAGTGCAGCTGGCCCGGGAGTCACTTGGGCACCTCCTGGGTGTGTCTAGACTACAAAGATTTTTCGAAAAAAGTGACCTTTTTTCGAAAAAAACTTCCCCTGCTTCTAGACTGCTGCCTCATTCTTTCAAAAGTAAATCGAAAGAACAGGGCAGTTTTTTCGACGGTGGAAAACCTCGTTTTACCAGGAATAACGCCTTTTTTCAAAAGCGCTCTTTCGAAAAAAGGTGCTATGTAATGCAAACTGTGCTTTTTAGAAAGAACGCATCCAGACTGCCTGGGTGCTCTCTTTCGGAAAAGCGGCTTGCTTTTTCGAAAGTACTGGTTGTAGTCTAGACGCTCTTTTTCAAAAGAGGCGTTTTCGAAAGTATCTTTCGAAAAAGGCTTGCTGCAATCTAGACGTAGCCCCTGGGCCAGCCAACCGGTGCTGCTCTGGCAGTCTCAGGCCACTGCGCCCTCCCCCCCCAGCAGCAGTGGGTAGGTTTGCCAGGTGTTCAGTTTTGAACCAGACAGTCCGGTATTTGAGCTTTCTGTTTGGGAAACAAATTGAGAAAATACTGGACATATAAATGTCTGGTATTTTCTAATTAAGTAAGTTTTATTATTATCATGAGTATCAGTTTGTAGTTGCGCACTGCCTGGCTGGTAGACAGTCACGCTGCATGAGCATGTCTACCAGCCAGGCAGGACACAACTACGTACTGATACTCATGATAATAATAAAACTTAATTAGAAAACACTGGACATTTCTGTGTCCGGTATTTTCTCAATTTGTTTCCTGGACAGAAAGCTCAAATACCGGACTGTCCGGTTCAAAACCAGACACCTGGCCACCCTACTGTCTAACCTGCTCTTAAATATCTCCAGCGATGGAGATTCCACAACCTCCCTGGGCAATTTATTCCAGTGTTTAACCACCCTGACAGTTAGGAACTTTTTCTAATGTCCAAACTAAACCTCCCTCGCTGCAGTTTAAGCCCATTGCGTTAGTAGCAGGAGTTTGGTTGGGTGGGTGGGAGCGCAGGCTGGGTCCTGCTTATCAGAGGGGTTCCCCAGAAGCGGCGACATGTCCCCTCCTTAGCCCCTGGCGGGAGGTGTGGCCCAGGTGGCTCCGCACAGCCGTGGAGCCTGTGTTTGGGGAAGAGGCAACATGTGGAGCCATCTGGCTGCACCTCGGCCTAAGAGCTGAGGGACAGTTTGCCGCTTCCAGGGAGGTGCGGAGCCAGGTAGGAACCTGCAGCCTCCCGACCCTCCCTCTCTCTACTCCAGGATTTAGACATGGGCACAGAGTCCACTGTATGGATTCACAGGCCTTGAATTTTTGTTTACCACCTGAGACCTGTCCAGTAATACCTGTGATTCAACCGTAGCCTTGAGTATAACCCAGGCCTTTCCCACCGGGGTCCTCTCTCTGCCTGACTGCTAGGGCCTGCCAGGCACTCTGCTGGTCAGTTATTAGTATCACGACAGCCCCAAGGTGCATTCTGGACCAGGGGCCTAGTGCACTGGAGTCCTTTGCTGACCAGCGAGTTGTGGGAAATCCTTCAGCTTCTCTCCTGTGGGTCTTTGCCTTGGGTGACCCTGCTAGTCCTCCCTGAGCACAGGGAAAGCAGTGTCCTCCAGACACGTCGGGCCCTGGCCAGGTTGGGCTTTAAACCCACTTCCTACAGCTCTGCATTGGGTTGCCCCGGAGAAACTGGGCCTGCTGCAGCTTGGTTTCCGCTCTCTGTCCCCAGCATGACAGCAACAGCAGCTGCCGGGACCCTGTTGCAAGGTTGAGTCATCTCATCCACTTCCTGCTCTTCCCCGGGGCCCAAGCCATGCGACCTCTGCTTTGTGGAGGCCGTTGTTTCACAAGTTGCAGGCCAGGGATGTGTGTTTCTGTGTGCCGGCCCTGCCCCGTGCTCGGCAGCGCTGTGGTGGAAATCTCGGCCATTCCGTCCTGACACTGTTGTGCAGGCTGTGTTTGCCAGCCCAGCCACAGAGCCGCTAGAGTAGTTTCTATCCCAAACCAGTCCCCCAGCTCATCCTGGGTGCAGGTTGCTGCTGGAAGAGGGCGCTTGGCGCAGAATTTCACTACCAAAAAGAGTGGGCTGAGAACCCAAAGCTATGGCCCCAGCTGCCCAGCCTGTAGCGCGGAGGGGCCACCTCTGCACGGCCATACCTCCCACCAGGGTGCCTCCCTATTTCTGCACTTTAGACAATTGGCAGAAGAATGCGGGGGGCTGGGAGAGGCAAAAGAGCAGATTTAAGGTGCGGAGAATCGGAAATGTGGAGAGGCCGTCTAGTCTAGCCCTTGCACTGAGGCAGGCCCCAGACCATCCATGACAGTCATGTGCACTGGTGACCCTTCGTTCTTAGAAAGCTGGTGGGGTCACTGAAGGGGCAGAGGGAGAAGGGTCTGTGCCCATGTGCGGCAGCAGGGTGGGGTGTGACCAACTGGTGGGTCTCTAGGTATGAAGGTGCCGGGTTAATCTAGTCCCAATCTGCGAGGGCAGGGACGGTGCAGGTGGTGGCTTGAGGAGAGAGCAGGAAGAGGGAGAGAATCAGGATGGGGAAATAAATATTGTGGTGGGGGTGGGGGGGCCAGTGGAGAGTTGAGTTAGCGGAGGAAAGGAGGAAGCGGGTTGCAAGGTGGCAGGGAGAGAAGTGACACTAGGGGAGGAACGACGAGGCAGAATCGCTCTCCTCCAGCAACATAGGAGGAGAGCCATTCTGGGGGCCGGCAGGGAGCAGAGGTGGGGAGCAGAAGAAGGGTGGAGAGAGGAGGCTGCTAAAGAGGAGAGTGGAATGAAAGGCGGGTTAGCAAGGAGAGCCGGGCAAGAGGAACGGGCGAGCCGGCGAGGAGAAGAGACCTAGGTGGAAATGAAGACCCATGACGAAGGCCAAGGTGGGTGAAGAGCTCGCTAGGCAGAGCCAGCTGAGCTGGTAATGAGTGCCTGGCATTAATTATTTCCCACTGAAATGGGTGCGTGGTGCTTCTGACCCACACACGGAGGGGAGAGGGGTCCCTATGCCAAGGAGCTTCTGTTCTAGTGGCGGGGGGGGGGGGGGCAGAGATACCAGGGGGGGCAGAGCCTCAGAGATACCAGATCCTCACAGGCATTTCGGCACCTGTTGAGTCCGTGGGAGTTGGGTGCCTGACTTGCTTTGAGCACCTGGACCTGAAAGTTTCCGATGGGCTCCGTGGGTGCCAGATGCCCTTGTTCATGGCTGAATTACTCTGCAGCAGCTAGAGCCACATTACAGGCCCAGGAGGGGCATGTGACAGCAGGCTGCAGGCAGAAGAGGGATGGACACAGGGGAGCGAGGCTGCTGGAGCTTTCCCAGGGACAAAGAGAGGTGGGCACCCGACAGGGCTGAAACAGGCACAGCACAATGAACAGGCGTAACAGGAGACTAGGGCTGAAGCCCCAACTGGTGTAAATGGTCAGAGCCTCATTGGCTTCAATAGAGCTGGGCTCATTGACCCCCCGCTGAGCACCTGACCTTAGCCAGCCCCTCCTGCCCTGCGGTGCGGGAAGCGGCTGTTTGTGAGCGCTGGGGACAGGGGCTGGAGGTTTGCCCAGGGCCTAGCGCAGTGGGAGTCTCTCGCACTTGCTCACTGCACCTGGCTGGAGCTCTGGACTTCACCCTGCAGAATAGGAGGGGATTATGAGGCCATGACAGTGGACTGCAAGGCTTGGAAAGGGAGGCCTAGAAGTTTCAAGGGGCGGTAGAAGGAGCCAGGAAGTTGGGCGAAGGGACAGGGGAGGAGGGAGCCAGCCATGGTTTGAATGGAGGGATCTGCGTTTCCAATCCAGTAGCCCTTCTCCTTCCCTCTTTTGTGGTGACGCGTCCCAAGTAGCCAGCCTAGTGCGCAGCCCAGGGCCGTTGGCTCCCCCGAGCCCAGACATGGAGCAGCGCCTCCCGCAGCCCTTCCCCGCTCTGGGCTGAGCGAGTGAGTCGTGGAGTGAGCGTAGCAATTTCCACCCCGGCTGGGGAAAAGCTGGTGGCTCTGACGGTGCAGGGAGCCGGCTCTAGACCCACTCGGAGGTGCGGCCCTTAGCAGACTCCTCCTGCCCCAGTCTGCTGCTGGGACTTGCCGCTTGCCTGCCCGCACCCCTGTAGGATCTGGCTTCCTGCCAGCCCCAGAACTCCCCAGGGACCAGCCCTCGTTAGGGGGCCAGCGCCACCTGCTGGAGGAAGCAAAAGCTTTGTCTCCAGCCTCTTGCTGAAGCAAAGGGAGCGAGGGATGATGGATGGTACCTCCCCAATCAGTGAACCATAGTTCATGACCATCTGGCAGGGTCTGAGGGGTGCTGAGGACCTGCAGCTCCCACATGGCACTGAAAGGATCCAGCTCACTGTTATCTAAATGGCTTGTGCGTGGAGATGCTCCATTCACCAGGCCTTTTCCATCCCAGAGGTCCCATATTAGTCTACCAGGGTTGGGTGTCTCCCCGCAGAGGAGAAGAATGGTTTATTCCATTCGCTGTTTGGTTGGCTCACTGAGGTTCTGTTTGCTTTAGGGCTTGTGAATCCAACCCTGCAAGGCTCTGAGCATACAGCTCCCTGAGAGAAAAGGATCAGGCCCTCTAAAGTATTATGTCCCTGCAAGTATTACAGGGCTGTCTCTGCTGGACGGCCTTGGCCATTACTTAGCGTGTTTTTCATGTTGATTGTTCTTTGCCCAGTCCTCCTTTGTAGGCCTGGTAGCTGCAAAGGTCAGAAATGGGCTGA